ACAGACAGAGATAAAGGGAGGGAGAGATACATACAGAGAGATATAGATAGATAGATAGACAGACAGACAGACAGACAGACAGACAGACAGACAGACAGATAGATGATAGAGATAAAGGGAGGGAGAGATACATACAGAGATAGATAGATAGATAGATAGATAGATAGATAGATAGATAGATAGATAGATAGATAGATAGATAGATAGATAGATAGACAGACAGACAGACAGACAGACAAGGTAGATAAAGCAGATAGGTAGGCAAATAGATAGGCAGAGCCGCAGAGATAGAGGGAGGGACTGAGAGAGAGATAAGTAGGTAAACAGGTAGCTAGACAGACAGAGATGATAAGGCAGATAGATAATAGATAGACAGACAGATAAATAAATAGATAAGGCAGATAGGCCAGCAGACAGACAGACAGATAAATTGTTCTACTTCTGGCCTCCTTCTAATAAATAAGCAACCATGCTTCTCATGCTATTCTGGCCTTCGCCCAATAAATGAATAAATAGCTAAATATGCTATTCATGCTACTTCTGGCCTACTTCCAATCAATCAATCAAACACCCAATCTGCTGCCTACTTCACTTCATTTCCCACTGGCACTTTGGGGCCCAGGTTAAACGGCCAGCATCCTCAACTTGCTTTTGCCTTTCCGACATCCCAACCTGTCCTGGAAAAAAAAAAAAAACACTGGCCTCTCAATGCCGAGAACGGACTCTGCAACCCCCCACGGTCCTTACAGGATGAAGACCAACCGGTGATGCTCCAGATTCGGTCAAGGACCCCTTTCCCTTCATCCTGCTTCCCGCCCCCCTCCCCCCAGGCCAAGACCGATGAGGAACAGGAGATGCTCTCCCAACCGCAGGCGTTGAAGTCAGAACTCCTCCATCTCCTTCCAAATCAGGGACCCGGCTGATCCTCACTGATCCATGGGGAGGGGGGCCGCGTTAGCAGCGCCCTTTGCAGATGTTGCGACCTGGGTGGAAACTAGATCTCCCTCCCCCCCCACGCCTCTTTTTCTTCTCCCTCCCTTCTCCCCCCACCCGGAATTTTTTCCAGGCTCGGGTTAACGTCCTCCCGGAGCGCCCAGGTAGATTCCCACCGTCCTCCTGGCCTCGGTCGCCGGTTCCCAAAGAGGGACGGGGGGGCGGCGAGGGACAGAAGGCGGGGATTGCGGGAGGAGGAGGAGGAGGAGGCGCCCTCCGGCTGCCAGCGCCAGTCTTCGGGTTGCAAAGACCGGCGGCCGATCTGCTTCCTGGGGTTTCCTTTCGCTTTCCCAGGGTCGCCTGTCTTAAGGCTGCTGCGCTCTGGGCGCGCTCTTGGCGATCCGGGTAAAGGAAAAGCGCTCAGGAACGGAAGTAAGACCCTTGCTTTGTCTGGGGCTTTTGTGTGTGTGGGGGGGGGGGTTTGCTTTGCAGAAGACTCCCCCCCTTCCTTTGAGCCTGGTGTCCCCTCCCCTCCTCGCGCTGGGAAAGACCCTCATCCCATCCCATCCCACCCCATCCTTTGGCTTGGCCTCCTGCTCTTTTTACCTCTCTTGCCTTTCCTCTCCAAACCGCGCAGGTGGCCGGATCTCCTCCAGGGAGGACCCATTCATGATGCTGAAGTCCTGGAGAAGCAGAGGCGTTTTGGGCAGCCTCTTTCGACTGCTGGGGGTCCAGGTTGGCAGTTTGCCCCCCGTCAGGTCCAGCTCTTCGGGAGAGGGCCCTCCTTCCGCCACCAGAGCGACGGGGATGAAGAAGCGGGGCTACGATGTCACCAGGAATCCCCATCTCAACAAGGTTGGGACCAAACTCCGTGGTTATGATCTATGAGCTTCATTAAATGTCTATGGAGTTTCTCAGTCGTCCAGGTCATGGTGGTCCCAGAGGTCCTTTTTTTTTTCTTTTTTTTTCCCAGGAGGCCACCGGACTTCCTTGGTTTTTTTTTGAAGACGTTTCGCTTCTCATCCAAGAAGCTTCTTCAGCTCTGGCTGGATGGTGGGGAAGCTTCCAAGAAGGCTCCCACGCCCATTTGCACTACTCAGGTGACCCTGACGACACAGATAAATGGAATAAGAATAGAATATTAACTTTACTGTCACTTTGAATGACCACGAATCGGCATACATTAAAATGAAATTTCGTGACGTACAGCTCTCAAAGGGTCACCACCTCCGATATACACTACATAAATATGACAAAAATAAATAAATAAATACAGAATTATGTATGTACCTACATATATTATATGACACAGGGGGCATATAAACCTCCAGGGGCATCAACAACTCTAAAAAAAAATGCACAGCTGTTTGCAAGGAGTATAAATTCTTCCATTCCCCACCATCCAGTCAGAGCTGAAGAAGCTTCTTGGACGAGAAGTGAAAGGTCTTCAAAGAAAAACAAGAAAGCCCAGTTGCCTCGTGAAAAAAGCACCTTTGGGATGAGCTTCACTACTCCAGATGGCCTCTGGGTAGCAGCAAAAAAGTTGGTGAAAAACTAACTTTTTTCTGCCCCTACAGTTCCTCTGGATTTCTGCAATCTAGAACAGAAAGATGGACAGTATCCCTACTTGGCTTTTTTTTTTTATTTCTCTGCGTTTACAAAGCTCACAGCACAGTAATTTATAGAACCATGAAATTCACATAAAATTCTCCCATCATCCACATAGGTTGTTCTCCCTGAAGTCTGGATTTCCCAGAGATCCCCAAATGGTGTGTTTGATGATCCAAGCAGATCTAAAGCCTGGGAGGGGGTTCCAAATGTTACTGAATATTTATTCAGTTGTCATTATTGTACAAGAAGACCTCACAATTGGTTGCTGCCCTCAGATTTAGTTTTGTCCTCTAAAACAATTACCTCTTAAGTGTGGCTCTTATACTTCTCAACTAATTTTCAAGGGAATTTCGACTTAGAAAGTCCATTAAGTCTTCCAGGACCAGAGATCTTTCTATAGTTGATCCACATTCTCATTATCCTTCATTGAACCTGAAGATGTATTATAAAATTTCCTACTGATTTATATGCCCTGGTAACTATTTAGAACAGTGGCCCCCAACGTTTTTAGGGCTCCAGGGACCAGTTCCATCGAGAGAAGCTTTTCCATGGACCGGAGGGGACATCGTTTCATGTGCTGCCTGCATCCCGCAGATGGGGGCTTCACCTGTTTGCGCGGATTGGTTTTTGGCATGCCGGGGACCGGTGCCGGTCCACAGACCAGGGGTTGGGGACCCCTGATTTAGAGAGCAGATATCCTTGGTTGCTATTCTTCAGATGTATAACAGTCATGGTCCATGCTGATTGGAGTTTAAGTTGGATACACGTAGAGGCACGAGCTTTGGAAAAGGCGCTATAGCTATCCATATTTGGCTAGGAAACATTTTGTAGTATTCCACATGAGGTCTTCTGCTGAACCACATCTGGAACACCACTAACTGCTTCTGACTCAGAGGATTAACTTGTGGAAAACTGTATAGTTCACCTATGGAACATCACATTGGAGTGATTTGGAGAAGAAAGGGAAAGATTCTTGAGTTTTCCTAAAAGTTCCCTTTCTGGAGCATTTGGGGATTTTCCATAACCTTCTGTCCTAATAATATAAGGGAGCCTTGCTTATTTATTTGATCATTTATCATTTGGACTAAATGTTCTATAATCAAGTTGTCAAAGACTAATCACAATGGCTTTTAGAAAGTAAAATGCTGCCTTCCCTTACATCAGGGGTGTCAAACTCGCGACGTCACGTGACGTGTCATGACGTATTGTGACTTTTTTTCCATTGCCGGCAATGGGGTGGGTGCAGTTTTGGCATGATGCATCTGGCCGGTGGGCCGGCAGTTTGACACCCCTGTCTTAGATCAAAAATTTGGCCTTCTAGCCTGGTATTATTGACTTAGGCGGACCCTTACTTTAAATTTTTAGGATGGAATATTTTGAGCCCTACCAGATTTCCTTTGGCCCTAAAACTAAATAAATAAACACCTGCAACCTTCAGCGTTCAGGCATCTATTTTACCTCTGGATTATAGCACCTACCTATTCATAGAACTGCAAAAGGAATGGAAGCTCAAACAAGATTGTTGACAGTCACTGGATTCAGCAATTTAGCTGCTTCTGTCCCTAAGAGGTTGCATACAAGTAGTCCTCAACATACAACTGGTTTTTGCAATTGTTCAAAGTTACGACGGAACCCCAAAAAGGGACTCAGGTCCCACTGTGGTTATGTGACAGGATTTGGGGCACCCAGCAACTGGCCTGCATTTACGGCCGTTTGAAGTGCCCTCCATTCATATGACCTCAAATTTATGAAGCATTTTTCTAGCAAAGCTGCCCCAAAGTGATCATTGGGTTCGCTTAACGACCGTGGCATTCGCTTTACAAACGGCGTATTCATTTTATGACCATTGCAAAAAAGGTGGTACAATCTTTTGCACACAGCGACCCGCTTTACAACCGTCATCACCCAGAACTGAAATTGCAGGCTCAATTACGGTCACAAGTCGAGGACTTACCTGTATTGATTTATTTTATTTATTTTTTGCACGCTTGTGGTGATTATTTAGTTATGTACCTTGGTTCTATTGGAAGAATAGTATGTGTAAAATACTATATGTACTTTGGAGTGAAACTTCCCCTTATCTTTTGGAGTAATGCCACTGCAAATGAGGTGGATTGATAATTCATTAGTCATCCGTTTTATTTTATTTTTTGCAAGAAGAGGGAAAGATATTTCTGACTTGTCAACACTTTTGAATAACTTTTTTTTTTTTTGCAATGCAGCAAGCATGCAATGCAGAACTAAAACTTGGGCTGGCTTCTCTTTTGCAAAAATCTTGCAAATCTTCTGGGCCATCTGGGGTGGGTATGATTTTGCAAAAAGCAGTTTCATGTAAATCCATCAAGTGAGCACATTTTAAAAAAGGAGGAAATGGTTTTGTCAGGCTTTTCCTTACAAATACTGTACAGTTCATTTGTCAGCACCTGAATTTCAAGTTATGCTAAAAATTACTCTTGAAGACTTAAACATGTGCAAAGTGGGGAATACAGGTGGTCCTTGACTTACAACAGTTCATTCAGTGACCGTTCAAAGTTACAAGGGCACTGAAAAAAGTGAGTTATATGACTGTTTTTCACACGTACGACCGTTGTAGCAGCATCCCCAGGGTCACGTGATCAGAATTCAGATGTGCTTGTCAACTGACTCATATTTATGACGGTTGCAGTGACCTTCTGACAAGCAAAGTCAATGGGGAAATCAGATTCACTTAACAACCGGGTTATTCACTTAACAACAGCAGTGATTTATTTAACAACCGTAGTGAGAAAGGTCATAAAATGGGTCAAAATTCACTTAACAAATGTTTCCCTTCGCAACAGAAAGGTTGGGCTCGGATGTGGTCGCAAAGCAAGGACTATCTGTAAATTATCCATCAAAATAAAATTTGGCTTAATGACAATATGAAAAAAAGAACATTATGGGAAGTTGGTTTGGGACTTTTGTTGACTTTTGTTAACAGAGCTAGGGACAAAAACTGGGACTGGCACACCTGATACCCACATCGATGTTTACGTACACACTTTATAAACTGTGCAGGCAACGCTCTGGCTAAGATTACTCTTTGTCTTTGTATGAATAAGAGAGAGAAAGAGATATGTGCAAATGGACGCCATTCTGGATCATCTCTTCTCCCCCACAATTTTATTAATCTGGAATTGATTATAAATCATACTAGCTGGTTGGAAACCTGGATGTTTACCCATTCACTGGACTTTTGCCTTGCATATTAGATATTTTTCTATCATATATGCTTCAAAGGTCTTGAAAGTCTGAAGTTATCAGCGGCAATAATTGCTGGAATTTTCCATTTTTATTGGGTTGGTTCTTAATCCGCTCTACAGTGTGAGGTTAGCTTATTTACAAGAAACTATATAGATGTTAACTTTGGAACTGGTACATTCTGCATGGCTGTATTCAGTCAGATATCTCAGTATCTGGGACCCGTAATCACCTCTGTGATGCTGTGTGCGTGTACATACATGTGCAGGTAGTGCCCAGCCTATGTCCACAATGAAGACAGTTGTTAAGTCAGTTTTGCCCCACTTTATGACCTTTCTTGCCACAGTTATTAAGTGAATCATGCAGTTATTAAGTTAGTAACACGGTTGTTAAGTGGATCTGGCTTTCCCATTGACTTTGCTTGACAGAAGGTCACAAAAGGGGATCACCTGACCCCAGGAACACTTCAACCGCCATAAGTACATGCCAGTTGCCAAGCGTCTGAATTTTGATCATGTGACCGTGGGGATGCTGCAGTGATCGTAAGTATGAAAAATGGTCATAAGTTACTTTTTCAGGGCCCTTGTAACTTCAAAACGGTCCCTAAATGAATGGTTGTAAGTCAAGGACTACTTGTATTATTATTGTTGTTGTTATTGTTGTTGCTGCTGTTATTGTTGTTATTAATAGTAATCATAATCACAGTCACAATCACAATCACAATCATAATCATAATAATATTGTCTATTCTTCCAATCAATATAATAATTTTTAGACTGGCTGTTTTCTAATGATTTGGCTTCTAGTCAAGGAAATCAATTACTATTGTTATTATAGTTGGCTTCCTCCACCCCATCCCTCGTCCACTTTCAACTTCACTTTAATTCCAGTATTTTGGTTTTTTTTTTATTTGTGTATGTTTTTGTTTTACTTTGGCTAGTAAAAATCTGGAATGTGTGCAGCACCCATTTTTCTTTTCAATACAAGTAATGTTTGGTGTGTTGTGTTTCAGGTGTCCGTCTGTA